CCCTCCTCCTCATTCTCTCTCTCTCTCCCTCTCTCCTCTTTCTCTCTGTCTCAAAAAAATATTTATTTTAAATGAAATGTCTTTTCAGCTCTCTTGCAGAGGTATAGCTGAATGTTCAACTTGAAATAGGGATAATATTATTGACTTGTTAGGTGCACATGCCCTTATAGTCTTCCATCTCATAGTGTTGGAGAAAGAAAAGTAAGTTCCTAAGACATGAAGTTGTTCAGTTTTTAAGTCATTTCCATAGAATTGTCACCATGATGATTAGTCATTAAATATTTGTGCAAGAAAGGAGGAAAATAATAGAAGACCTTCTTAGTGGCACCTTATTAATAGGCTTAGTGGTATTCAGTTTGGGGAATAGTTCAGCAGAGAAGTAGAAAAACCATTCTGCTGAAATCATTTTATGCTACTCATGTGCATAAAATGTATCAGGTTTTATTTCAGGTAATATGTGCAGGGACAAAGGTGTATTATGCCCCATTTTGCTCAGAATAAAGAGCCACTTATGTAAAAATTAGCTCATTGTCTCCAAGGAAAGGCCTAGTTTGATTAATCACTGAAGTAGTTTACCCATGAATTATTCTCTAATTCAATAACTATAAAATCAAGTTCTGTGTCTAGAGCAAACTTTCCATTCTGTATTCTAAAGTTGAATCACATACAATGTTAACCATTTAAGAACATTTTCTTTTAAAATTTGACTTTTTTCAGGAACGTGCTTAAAAATATTTTGTCATGGGGAGCCTGGGTGGCTCAGTCAGTTGAGCGTCTGACCTTGACTCAGGTCATGATCTCACAGCTTGTGAGTTCGAGCCCTGCGTCGGGCTCTTTGCTGACAGCTCAGAGCCTGGAGCCTGCTTCGGATTCTGGGTCTCCCTCTCTCTCTGCCCCAACCCACTCACATTCTGTCTCCGTCTCTCTCAAAAATAAACATTAAAAAAATATTTTGTCATATGTGATATGTAACTCCTTACCCTCTTTATTTAAAATCCTTTTATGACCTTTGTACACTCTAATAGAATAGATTTTTTAAAAACAATTGTGGGGGCGCCTGGGTGGCGCAGTCGGTTAAGCGTCCGACTTCAGCCAGGTCACGATCTCGCGGTCCGTGAGTTCGAGCCCCGCGTCGGGCTCTGGGCTGATGGCTCAGAGCCTGGAGCCTGTTTCCGATTCTGTGTCTCCCTCTCTCTCTGCCCCTCCCCCGTTCATGCTCTGTCTCTCCCTGTCCCAAAAATAAATAAACGTTGAAAAAAAAAAACAATTGTGTACTATGGTGATTTTAAGTAGAAAGTATTTCTTATTCAACATATAAATGATAAATTAGAATCTGTTACTTTTATCATGATAAAGATTGTTTTGTTTGTTTCAGGATTTCAGGAAGGTTCTGCAGAGAAATGTTGTGGCTTACATTAGTCTCCATAGTCCCATAAGGGGTAACTCAAGTCTATATTCTGTAGCTTCACCATCTCTTCAGCAACTGGTGGTAGAGGTAAGATGAACTAGTTTTTAATAAAACGATCATACAAAATTACCTATTCTCTATAATTTGGCATATCTTGATGTTTTCACTTTTTAATATGCATAAAACCATCTATGTTTTTGTTATTTATTTATTTATTTATTTATTTATTTATTTATTTATTTTGAGCACGAGAGAGAGAGAGAGAGAGAGAGAGAGAGAGAGAATACTAAGCAGACTCCACATAGTCAGTACCAAGCCCTACATTGGGCTTGATCTCATGACCCATGAGATCATGACCTGAGCTGAAATCGGGAGTCGGACACTTAACCAACTGAGCTACCCAGGAGCCGCCAAACCATCTGTTTTAAGGAACTATCTATTACTAATTTTTTATCAATATTCCTTTAACCAATTTCTTATGTTCTGCAATTCTGCATCCTGCATTTGCTATGGTGATAGTTGTAGATAAAATTTTATAGTTATAGAGAACATATATAAAAATATAAATTTATTTCTTAAAAATTGAAATTCAGATTTCAAGTTCCCAATTCTATTGATCTTGACATTTTGTGGTAAATTTGGTTACTTTTAAATTTCTCCCCCCTCATTCATGTTTTGAGCAAATTTGGGACCTGCCCTATGTTTTCAACAATATCGTACTCTGCCTATATGTCTAGTTCCTAGAATAGAGTGATAACTAATTAAAGATATTTAGAAAATATTATTCGAAAAATACTATGGGAAAGGACAGCATTCATTTTCCTAAAATGTAACTTGAAAAATAATCATGTAGTTTGTGATAATGTCTCACTAGAGATATTTATTTATTTATTTTTAATTTTGTTACTTCTGGTCTGTTTCAAATAATTTTCCAGAACATCTTTCCTGTTTGTTAGTTGAGTTCATGCTTTTATTTTTCAATCTTTTTATAACTTATACTACAGATAAAATGATACATGTTATTCTTCAGAATGAAAGTAATCATGCCACCACTGGAGGGTGGTTTCCTCCCACCCCAAAAGGTTATTGGTGTATATTAGAAATGACCTTTTCAATGCCCACAGTTTCCAGTGAGTGTCATAGAAACTGAACTAGAAAAAAAGAGAGATAATGAACAGTGCTTTAGATTAGCCATAATGCTTGATTGAAATGTAATGCAAACTAACATTTTATGACTTTCATAAAGTATTTTCTAGTTTAATAGTTTTCATTGACATTTCCATATGTAGTATAATAAAGAGGACATTATGAAAGATGAAATGGATAAATCTGTACATTTGAGATCAGCCAAATCTCAGTTTGCATGCCCTAAATTATATCCAGTTTTGTAAGTGAATTCCTCATGCACTTTGTACTGCTTTGCATTCTGACTCTCCTACCTGCCTGAAAAAACTCAAAAGAAAATCAGCAGATATCTCTCTTGGAAAGTTAAGATATTTCTGTACAAGTGAGATATCAAGGAGGATAGCATTAGCTCAAGTATCAAGTATTTAAAATTTGTCTTTTCCTTTTCATGTGTTACAATATTTATATTTTGAGAACCTTGGAAGATATGTAATCATTGAAATTCATAAGCAAATATAAATTAAAAACTGTTAAGGGCTATAAAATCTAGAGAAATATTTATCTATAGAAATTTCTGAGAATAAAATGCTATTTAAAATGTTTTTGCACCATCTTATAACAGAGAACTGTAAAATATTAGCATTTAAACCCAATTATCTAAAAGTACAGTAATGAATAGTGACATGGAAGATGTACCTTTTTATCTGTTTGGGGGAAGACAGTTTTTGTTCTATAGTTTAAAATATTTCTATACTAATCCAAGAATTAGTATATAAATTCTAATTTATTCAAAGAAAAATTCCTTTCAGTTGAAAGAGAGTATATGTATGTTCTATAGGACAATTTAGAAAGGTAAGATTATCAGAGATTCAAAAAAACAAGAGCATATGCAATTTTAAAAAATGGGAATTACTTAACTATCTATATTGAGTTTTATTAACACAAAGCAAATATACAGGGTAATTTAAGATATATTTTACATACAATAATTCAATGCCAGTATTTTTCATTAAAATATGTCGGCACACTTAAAAATATAAAGGGGAAGAGAACTGAAGGAAACAAAACCTCACAGTAATTTGTACAATTTAAAACAACGTAACACCAGTGGCATTTTAAAAAGAAAGATTTAAAACATTTCTTTCAAAAGAAAGGAACTGATTAACCGATTATAACATCAGAACATAAGTAACTTTACATACAAAGATATTTTATTAATCTTCAGGACCTCTGTATTTCATCATTTTACTTAGATTCTGTTACCATATGCAAACACATGTTTCATATAAGGTAGTATAGACCAAACAACCAAGCAGAAACAAATTAAAAATGATTTTTCTACAAAGAACAATAGTTTTTTTATAAAGCATGCTGACTAAATTGTGAATGACATAAGATTATATGTCATTATATGTTCTGTCAATGTGCAGAATCAAAAAAAAACCTTTCTAAGTCCATGTGACAGAAATAAGTATATCAGATGCAGTCTTTAAAGTTTAATATACAGTACTACATTTATTTTAAAAGACTCTACAATTATAGGATAGTTTTTTTTACATTTATTTATTTTTGAAAGACAGCACTAGTGGGGGAGGGGCAGAGAGAGAGAGAGAGAGAGAGAGAGGGACAGAGAGACAGAATCCAAAGCAGGCTCCAGGCTCTGAGTTGTCAACACAGAGCCTGATGCTGGGCTCAAACTCACAAACCATGAGATCATGACCTGAGCCAAAGTCGGACGCTCAGCGAACTGAACCACCCAGGTGCCCGTATAATTATAGGATATTTTAATGGACTATCAGCTTGGTAAGAAAAAAAAAAAAAAAAGTGAAGTAGTTACCCTAAATCAAATACCTGTTCAAATTTCACTAATAATGTGTTATCCCGATCAAGGAAGATGACAGTTTCATTGTCCTTGGCCCATTAGATATTGATATGCTATTATTTTTGTTTAAGTTAGATTTACTGGATGAATTGAAATAATAATTTACATATAGTAACTAATGTTCTCCCTTCTTAAGTATCAGGTTGATGAATTTTGACAAGTGTGTACAAGCAGGTAAACACCATGACAATCAAGATACACAGTATTTCCATCTCAAAAATTTCCCATCGTAGCCCTTTGTATTCAGTCTCCTCTCTTCTTCCCTAGTTCCTGGCAAAGACTGATCTGATTTTTGCCCAAATGTTTTTTTTTTTCTTTCAGAATAACATAAATAATGGAATCTTTCAGTATATAGTCCTTTCTGTGTGACTTCTTTTACTTAGCATAATGATTTTTAATTTTTTTTAATGTTTAATTTTGAGAAAGAGAAAGAGCATGAACAGTGGAGAGGCAGAGAGAGAGAGAGACAGAGACAGAGACAGAGACAGAGAATCCAAAGCAGGCTCCTGTCAGTGCAAAGCCCCATGTGGGGCTTGAACCCATGAACTGTGAGATCATGTTAAAGCATGCCCATGTTGTTACATGAGTCAGTACTTTTACAACATCTCTGACAAGGAAAACAAGTCAATCATGTCTGGGATGAACGCAATGTACATTTGTAGCTCTTCCTCCACTTTGGTATTCTAACTTTGATTTTGAAATAAAGAGGACTGACATTAAGAAAAGAAGCCATTTCTCTGAAGTTAGTCTACTAAATTTGAACTAAATCATACTGAGTGGAGAGGATGCAATTTTTTGAGGATTCAGATAGGTTTGGTGAATCTGAATCTACTACCAGTGACTACAGCTTTTTCTTAGAACTCATGAAAGATTGACGTTAAAAAAAATTACCTAAAGAATAATGAAAAGCTGATGGTTCCAAAGCTAAATAATAGGCACATGAGATTTCATTGTACTGCCCTCTCTTCTTTTGTATTTATTTGGAAATTTTCATGATCACTTGAAAAAAAACTCAAAAAAAAACAGTTTTTCTAAATTGTAACACTGATAACTAATAAATTAGTTTGTCTTCCAAAAGGAGTAATAATCTACCAGTGAGCTACCCACTGAACAGTAAGTAAGAGGCAAAAACTAAGGCTTTATGTGGTTGGTTTTTTCCTGTTACTTTTTTAGCATTTTGAACCAGCATTTCTGCTTTCTTTGTGCTACCAATATTTTCCCAAAAAATAATAATTAGTTCACTTAAAGCAGCTTGTAACTTTTGAAATTAAAATATCTCCATTTGAAAAACTAAAAATTAAATATAAATACTTTTAAATCCCTATTTCAGAAGTGGCTATATATTTTCAAATTATAAATTACCTCACTGTATCCTTTGCAAAAATATTAACTTCATAGTAATATTTTACTTATTTACATTTTACTATACAAAAATACAGGGAAATAACTTTTTTTATTATGAAATCTATTGTTGAATTGGTTTCTATACAACACCCAGTGCTCATCCTAACAGGTGCCCTCCTCAATGCCCATCACACACCCTCCACTCCCTCCCACCCCCCCCAAACTCAGTTTGTTCTCAGTTTTTAAGAGTCTCTTATGGTTTGGGTCCCTCCCTCTCTAACTTTTTTTTTTCCTTCCCCTCCCCCATGGTCTTCTGTTAAGTTTCTCAGGATCCACATAAGAGTGAAAACATATGGCATTTGTCTTTCTCTGTATGACTTATTTTACATAGCATAACATTCCAGTTCCATCCACATTGCTACAAAAGGCCATATTTCATTCTTTCTCATTGCCACGTAGTATTCCATTGTGTATATAAACCACAGTTTCTTTATCCATTCATCAGTTGATGGACATTTAGTCTTTTTCCATAATTTGGCTATTGTTAAAAGTGCTGCTATGAAACTTTTTTTAAACTTATAGTGGTAATGTGCATTATAGACACATTATAGACACATCATATCAAAAAAGTAAGTTAATTACATAAAACAACAAATTTTTGACAAAATCCATTAAAACATTTTATTTATTTTTTAATGTTTATTTGAGAGAGAGGGAGAGAGAGAAAGCTGGGGAG